TAAGAAAAATCTGCGAAACCAGGCCTGGTATTCACAGCTGATTTTGAAAAGGCCTTTGATCAAGTACGACTGAAATTTTTATTTAAATGCCTGGACTATTTTAATTTTGGAGAATCTCTTATACAATGGGTTAAAGTTATGTATAGTAACCCCAGGTGTAAAATAGTAAATAATAGCTACTTGTTAGAAAGTATTCAATTGTCAAGGAGAGTAAAACAAGGTTGTCCACTATCTGCATATCTATTAATTATGGCCATCAAAATGTTAGCTATTAAAATCAGACCCAACAATAATATCAAGGGGCTAGAACAAAGGTGTCATTGTGTAAACCGATGATTCATGTTCTTTTAAATCCGCAATTTGGATCCCTGCACAGCCTCAGAGGATCTCGATAATGTTTAGAACCTCTCTGGATTAAAGCAGAATCATGATAAGTGTACCATATTACATCTTGGATCGCTAAAAAATTAAACTTTTACATTACCATGTAGTTTACCAATAAAATGGTCCGACAGTTAAGTGGACATACTCTGTATTCATATCCCGAAAGAAAGAAATGATCTCACTACAATACATTTTAATAGAAAGTTTGCCAAATTAGATACGATTTTTCTACCATGGAAAGGACAACACCTGTCTATGTGGAAAAATCACTGATTAATTATTTAGTCATATCCCAGTTTACCTATTTACTTATGGCCCTGCCTACACCGAACGACTTGTTTTTTTAATTAAATGAGCAAAAACATATTCCACTTTATTTGGAACAGCAAGCCAGACAAAATTAAACGGGCCTATTTATATAATTAATATGAATTCGGAGGGCAGAAATGATTAAATATTAAGCATTGGACCTCTCACTAAAGGCTTCAGTCATACAAAAACTATACTTAAATACAAACTGGTTCTCTAGCAGATTAGTAAGAATGGGTCACCCTGTGTTCAATAATTGCCTTTTTTCCCTTAATTCAGATTACAACCTCTCACTTACGGTTATTTGAAAATGAAATCTCCAAAATATTGTTATTTTTAAGACAAGCCATAGAAAGCTGGTTGCAATTTCAGTTTAATCCACCAGAAAAAAAAACAGAACAAATATTAGAACAAATATTATGGTTAAACTCAAATATACCATTTTTATTTTTTGTACGGTATAATCTTAGTAAATTATATCATAAATAGGACTGGTGGAGTTGTCACACATGCAGTTAACAAAAATATATGGAAATGTCTGCTCTATCCAAAGTTGCAACCAACGGATTGCAGCATTACCGCAAAAATGGAGGAAAGTGGAAAAGGTAAGGAACTTGTTTGTTGGCCCTGCATTAAACACCAACAGTTCCTCATCAATCTACACACAATACCCCATAAATGACAAAGAAAAAAAACAGGCTTTTATACATTTTTGCAAATTTATAAAAAGTACAAACTGCAATATCAAATAAAATTTTATTGGCCACATGCGCCGAATACAACAGGTGCAGACATTACAGTGAAATGCTTACTTACAGCCCTTAACCAACAGTGCATTTATTTGAAATAAAAAAGTAAAATAAAACAACAAAAAAGTGTTGAGAAAAAAAGAGCAGAAGTAAAATAAAATAACAGTAGGGAGGCTATATATACAGGGGGGTACCGGTGCAGAGTCAATGTGCGGGGGCACCGGCTAGTTGAGGTCGTTAAAGTAATATGTACATGTGGGTAGAGTTAAAGTGACTATGCATAAATAATTAACAGAGTAGCAGCAGCGTAAAAAGATGGGGTGGGGGGTGGGGGTGGGTGGCAGTGCAAATAGTCCGGGTAGCCATGATTAGCTGTTCAGGAGTCTTATGGCTTGGGGGTAGAAGCTGTTGAGAAGTATTTTGGACCTAGACTTGGCACTCTGGTACCGCTTGCCGTGTGGTAGCAGAGAGAACAGTCTATGACTAGGGTGGCTGGAATCTTTGACAATTTTGAGGGCCTTTCTCTGACACCGCCTGGTATAGATGGCAGGAAGCTTGGCTCCAGTGATGTACTGGGACTTACGCACTACCCTCTGTAGTGCCTTGCGGTCGGAGGCCGAACAGTTGCCATACCAGGCGGTGATGCAACCAGTCAGGATGCTCTCGATGGCGCAGCTGTATAATTTTTTTGAGGATCTGAGGACCCATGCCAAATCTTTTCAGTCTCCCGGGGGGAATAGGCTTTGTCGTGCCCTCTTCACGACTGTCTTGGTGTGTTTGGACCATGATAGTTCGTTGGTGATGTGGACACCAAGGAACTTGAAGCTCTCAACCTGTTCCACTACAGCCCGTCGATGAGAATGAGGGCGTGCTCAGTCCTCTTTTTTTTCCTGTAGTCCACAATCATCTCCTTTGTCTTGGTCACGTTGAGGGAGAGGTTGTTATCCTGGCACCACACGGCCAGGTCTCTGACCTCCTCCCTATAGGATGTCTCATCATTGTCGGTGATCAGGCATATATATATATATATATATATCACATTTACGTAAGTATTCAGACGCTTTACTCAGTACTTTGTTGAAGCACCTTTGGCAGCGATTACAACCTTGAGTCTTCTTGGGTATGAGGCTACAAGCTTGGCACAGCAGTATTTGGGGAGTTTCTCCCATTCTTCTCTGCAGATCCGCTCAAGCTCTGTCAGGTTGGATGGGGAGAGTCGCTGCACAGCTATTATCAGGTCTCTCCAGAGATGTTAGATCGGGTTCAAGTCCGGGCTCTGGCTGGGCCACTCAAGGACATCCGGAGACCTGTCCCGAAGCCACTCCTGCATTGTCTTGGCTTTGTGCTTAGAGTCGTTGTCCTGTTGGAAGGTGAACCTTTGCCCCAGTCTGAGGTCCTGAGCGCTCTGGAGCAGGTTTTCATCAAGGATCTCTCTGTACTTTGCTCCGTTCATCTTTCCCTCGATCCTGACTAGTTTCCCAGTCCCTGCCGCTGGAAAACATCACCACAGCATGATGCTGCCACCACCATGCTTCACCCGTAGGGATGGTGCCAGGTTTCCTCCAGACGTGACACTTGGCATTCAGGCCAAAGACTTTCAATCTTGGTTTCATCAGACCAGAGAATCTGGTTGTCGCGACCGGGAGACCCATGAGGCGGCGCACAATTGGCTCAGCGTCAGGTTTCCTCCAGACGTGACGCTTGGCATTCAATCTTGGTTTCATCAGACCAGAGAATCTTGTTTCTCATGGTCTAAGAGTCCTTTAGGTGCCTTTTGGCAAACTCCAAGCAGGCTGTCATGTGCCTTTTACTGAGGCGTGGCTTCCGTCTGGCCACTCTACCATGAAGGCTTGATTGGTGGAGTGCTGCAGAGATGGTTAGCTTTCTGGAAGGTTCTCCCATCTCCACAGAGGAACTCTGGAGCTCTGACCATCGGGTTCCTGGTCACCTCCCTGACCAAGGCCCTTCTCCCCAGATTGCTCAGTTTGGCTGGGCGGCCGGCTCTAGGAAGAGTCTTTGTGGTTCCAAACGTATTCTATTTAAGATTGATGGAGGCCACTGTGTTCTTGGGGACCTTCAATGCCGCAGAAAGTTTTTGGTACCCTTCCCCAGATCTGTGCCTCGACACAATCCTGTCTCGGAGCTCTACGGACAATTCCTTCGACCTCATGCTTGGTTTTTGCTCTGACATGCACTGTCAACTGTGGGACCTTATATAGACAGGTGTGTGCCTTTACAAATCATGTCCAATCAATTGTATTTACCAAATGTGGACTCCAATCAAGTTGTAGAAACATCAAGGATGATCAATGGAAACAAGATGCAGCTGAGCTCAATTTCGAGTCTCATAGCAAAGGGTCTGAATACTTATGTAAATAAGGTATTTCTGTTTTTTATTTTCAATAAATGTGCACACATTTAAAAAAAAAACCAGTTTTTGCTTTGTCATTATGTGGTATTGTGTGTAGATTGATGAGGGACATTTTTTTATTTAATACATTTTAGAATAAGGCTGTAATGTAACAAAATATGGAAAAAGTCAAGGGGTTTGAATACTTTCCAAATGCACTGTATATGGGGGATACAACCATCCCAGCTCTGCAGATTTTGATGCAAAGAGAGAATCATTAGATCACTTGTTTTGGTACTGTCCATATGTAGCTTGTTTTTGGTCGCAAATTCAGGAATGGCAAAGAAATTGCAACATTTACTTGGAGCTAACTCTGCAAATAGCACTGCTGGATTATTTGAAAAGTCATAGTCAAATCGATCAATAATATAATAATACCCTTAGCAAAAATGTTTATCTTTAATTTACAATCTGTAGAAACTATGAGAATAGAAAGGTACAGAACTTTTGTGAAACATCACAGCGGGAAAATTGCAGCTAGAAATCAAAACTGGATGGTCTTCAGAGATAGATGGGAGAAGTTGAGGGTAGCTGAAGGCTGGGACTAAAAACAAACAAAAGATAACTAAATGTAAAATGTAGTGTCCTTAAAATGTATACAGTATGTATAAGCTGGAAGTAGAAGCCTAAGTATTGTTGTCCATTCGTTTACTCCAAGTAGGGGAGCGGAGGTAGGGTTAAGGGATAAATATACTTTAAATCTATATTTAAAAGAGTATATATATATACAAAAAAAAGATGAGGGATTGGAAGTGATGCAAACAGTTACATTGATAGAAGCCACAATCTATCTGCAATATTAAAGCTGATCTACCCCCTAAAATGTCTAATTAGTTATAATCTGTATAACCTGTCTAGTGTGTGTGTGTGGTCTTGTTCTTCTGTCCTCGTGGGGACCTGAAATCCCCAAAAGTCCCCACAAGGATAGTAAAACAAGGACATCCCACGTCCCCACGAGGACAAAGGCTATTTTAAGCTAAGGGGTTAGGTTTAGGGTTAGAATTAGGGTTAGGCGTTAAGTTTAGGGAAAATAGGACTTTGAATGGAAATAAATTGTAGGTCCCCACAAGGATAGAAAAACAAGTGTGTGTGTGTGTGTGTGTGTGTGTGTGTCCATGTGTGTGTTCACCAGTTTTAACCCTTACCTGCCAGAGCAGCTCCGATAGTACAGTGGAGGAGAACTGGGGGTTTTCCCAGCAGCTGAAGCGCAGCAGCTTGACCGTCTCCTCGGAGTTGCTGCAGTCCTCAATGATCTTTTTCACGTAGCTGGTCCTTACAAACAGGATCTCTCCCACCAGCTGCTGCAGGGGCATCACCGGGGTGGTCTGGTTGGCATCACCATACGGATTAGGGAGCGGGGGGTTACCTGGATGGAGAGAGAGAAGAGAGAGCGCAAGAGAAAGAAAGAGGGAGAGAGAAAGAGGAGGGAGAGAGAGAAACACAATGAATACGACGACCCAGTTGATACTGGTTCGTCTTTGTCCGTCGATCATAGGTCACAACCCCTCACCCCTGACCTCTGTGTGAACTCACCATTGATGGAGGACTGCATGCGCGCGGCCACGTCACAGCAGCGCACCAGTTGGGAGACCACGGTGTACAGTTTGCCTAGTTCAGCATACTGGTACTTTATGGGAGGGCCAGGCCCCTCATCTAGAGCCACCAGCATGAAGGTAGCTGGGACACTCAGCTTCAACAATTGGGTCTTCTCTGCCAGCCCTGGAGAAGGGTGGGAGGGAGGGTATAAGGAAGAAAAGAAGAGCAAGGCAAGAAGAGAAATGAATAGCCAGCGATCCATACATTTCCTCGAGGGGTTGAGAGAGTAGGTGTGTATGACAGGCTGTGTGTGTTCCTTACCCAGGTTGGCGTACATAACGAAGAGGTTGAAGTACTGCTGCAGGTGTCGGCCGTGCTCTGACACCTCTCTCCTGAGCAGGTTCAACACAGCCCTCAACAGGTGGTCACTGAGACTCAGGTTATCACATGCCTGACACAGACCGGGAAAGGGGAGGGAGAGAGAGAAAGAGGGGAAGTTTAACACATATTCCACAGGACCAGAGAAAAAGTGCTTTGTATGGGGTAATGCTCAATATGCATGAAATGGGGGAAACATTTTAAAACCGAAGCCGAAAACTAGATATCTTATTGGACAATTCCAGGTAGTACCTGCTCTGTTTCAAAACATTTATCCCACTGCCTACTGAACACCACCCTGATAGTTTGTGTTTTAGGACTAGGAGAACCAGCCATTCACCTGTGGTTGGGTGGAGGCTCCGACGGGGGAGGCAGTGGGGGAGGGGCAGGGTCCGTCTTGCAGGGAGAAGTGTGCAATGAAGACGATGAGTTTGGCGAACGCGCCCCGAACCTCGGCACTGGGGCACTCCAGCAGGTACTCGGAGAAGCGGTTGGCGTAGGCAAACAGGAAGTTGTGTGCAAACCAGTAGCGTACATTCTTACTGTGTCTCAGAAGGATGCACAGCGCATCATACCTGGGGATGGAGAGGGAGAGAGATACACATGTGGTTAGAGAAAGGGATAGAGGAAGATCGGAGAGTTTCAGAAAGGGAGAGAATGATGCAAGGGAGAGTGGAGAGAAAGAGTGGGGAGGAAAAAGGGGAGACCGATGAGACGGGGATAGCAATGAATAAGAACACAAAGAATAACAAAACAAAGATCATTCACTCAGGTCAACATCTGAACACAGGTCAAAGTTGAAAGGTGAGAGACAGCACTCACCAATCACTGGCGGGCCCCCTCACTACTTTCTTGGTGTGGAACCCAGTGCTGAAGAGGAACTTAGCAGCCAGCTGAACACTAATCATAGCCATCTCCTCCGCCTCAGGCAGTAGATGGTCTTGTCCTGATTCAACCACACAACATAAACATCGCTTCAGACTTCAGTCACAAATGAACATTAAAGTTCCTAATGGAAAATTTCAAAGGAAAACAAAAAAACTAAATTAATGTTTCTTCTCTAAACGCAAATTAGTGAAGGATTAAGCGGGTATTGCAGAATATTCAGCGAGAGACTATTCCGTAGATATTTCAATTTCAAAGTTAAGGTGTGAGTCAGTCACTGGAGCCGAATCCAAGAATCTTATCACGTTCAAATAGAGCCGTATGACCCAATTTGCTGCTTACTCCTAAATGAGAGGCTGAAATTGGGGACATTGACGAGAACAGTTGCCCGTTTGCACACAAGACACTATAAGAAACAAACACATACTAACAAACCTCCACACACACACCTCTCCCTCCTCCACCCACATACATACTTGATGAGCTGAAGCATTCAATCCCAAACAAGTGCTTTTACACTGATGGCTAACCCTGCAGTAGTGGGTTCATTTCCCTGTGCCTGTCGTGCAGACAGACAGACAGCAGTACACTGTGGCCTGGCTGGCTGCATTAATAATGCATTGGCTCATATTAACTTCAGAAGGCAGAGGAAACTCCTGCAGTTTACTGTCTGCCAATGTTATGTTCAGCTCTGCCATCCTACACTCTCCCTCTCCATACAACTCTCCAAGGGGGTGGTGAATTTGTATACATCTCCAATACGGTGTTACCAGTGGTAAGATTAAAACGAGGGGGTATCATTTTCATCTTTTTAAATATTGAAAGGAATGAAAGTATCAGCTATTAAAGCAAAAGCAAATGTCATATATCGCTATTACAGTGATAAAAAGCCTTGTTTTGGTACTAAGGAGAGAGGCTGGGCCATTCACAGCGCACAAATGAAAAAGGCAAATCACAGTAATAGCAATCTCACGTCTTGGGTTGTACACATTAGCAGGGGACATAACGGGAGAGAACAAAGGAGACAAACAAAGCCTCAGAGTAGCATCAACACCTGCCCTGAGAAGAGCTCTAAAACTCAAAAGGAGGTATTCTGAAGCCTGTGTGTGTGTGTGTTCCACTTACCTGGCGGAGGGTTTAAATAGACACTGTTACAGGTCAGAAGTTTCTTAACAAACTGGAAATACTCCAGGCTGTATTGCATACGATTGTGCATGAACTGCACGTTCTGCTTGCGCACGCTGCACTCGATTACACCGGGCATCTTGACCTGGTGTGGTGGCTTGTTGTTGGACGAGGACGAGATGGTCAGTTCCTGAATGTATTTGACCAGCTCACTGTCCTTGTCCAGTGAGTCCATCCGCTCGTAGAAGAGGATGTAGGCGTTCCACCAGCGCTTCTGACGCCGGTACGACATCCTCTTCATCATGTGGTCAAACACCTCGCCCATGTACTCCCCTCCAAAGCACTGGTTCTTCATCTCCTCCTCGTCGTCCATCTTGCACTCCGTCACGTCGCCGTCGTCAAACTTGTACCAGCGGTTACGCTCGCCGTCTGCCCCACCCACGTTCCTCTGCGTGATGTAGGAGTAGTAGTGTCCGCCGCTGGCCTGGCCTGAGTGGACCAGCACCCCCACTAGGCGGTACTTGGAGCTGCCTGGTGGCTCTGGTTCAGAGGGCTCGTTCTGCTGGATCACCTGAGGGCAGGACACCATAATTGATGTTGAAGTGAACCACTTAATTGGTTTGTTTAAAGGGCAGTTCACGCCAAAGTGAGGTCTGAAGACATCTGACACTGATTTTGTCCCTCTAAATGTGATCCTATCTGAATTAAATTTACATGAAATATTTCAAACATTTCAGATATTTGAAATGAGAACGACAACTACATTATGAACATATTAAAATATACATTAATTCCGTATTTCTCCACACGATAATGTAATAATCTGTGTCATCATCATGCCATCCCTAACCTGGTTCTCTGGGTTGACGTCGTCCCCCTCCAGCTTGGCCACCCCGGCTACCGTGTAGGGCTCCATGTCCAGCTCCCTTGGGAACTCAAAGTAGTCGTTGAACTTAATGGCACACTCCCTCTCCCAGTCGTAGTCAAACCTCTTCAGCTGGATGGCCAGCACTGGGGGAAGCTTCTTGATCAACAGCCGCTTCACTGTGTCCACCTGGAGGGAGGCGGGAGAGGACCAACACATTACTGCTACTAGCCTTCAGGTCAGGGGGCCTAAGCTAACCGTCCTCCCGGAGACCTACTGGGTATGCAGGCTTTCGCTACAACCCTGGAAAGCCTACAGGAATGTAGCTAGTTAGGAAAAAGGCCTATTGGTCAATTTCAATTGTAAGATCTGATAAGAATAACTTTATTTTTCTGTAAATTCTTGTTTTCTGATAACAGACATAATAAATAATATCTGATTAATCAGGCCGAAGTGAGTTGTCTCTCACCTTCTTGTTGCACTTCTCACAGTGATATGCGTTAGCTCCCTCCAGCAGGTCTCCTTTGACATACTGCTCCATTGAGTCCAACAGGTTCTGGTGGTTCCTGATGTCTACATTCAGAGTGGTGAACGACTCCTCACACTCATACCTGTAGCACACACACAATATCCACATAAGTTACAACCAACACTGTATAGCCTCGTAAACGTGACCCTAGGCAACAGCAGTGACTAGGGTCTGGTTTCACTAGCTAGGTTTCCATCCAATTGGCGACAGATTTTCATGCAAATATTCACTTGGTGAAGGCCATAGGACTGAAAATGAACGAATGAAACAATGTCTGTCACTAACAAATACAGTCATGGGTGGTAACTCTACAATTCAAATCGAAAAAGCAAGGCACACCGGGAAAGAATTGGAGGCGTGGTTTGTGGGGGCATTAAATGTAAGTATACCTTAATAAAAGAAAATGCATTTGTATTACTCATATGAAGGTAGTACTGCTCACTTCAGCTATTTCTTATTTATTTTTTACGTAATCCATTTCCTCAGAATGTTTGAGTAGCCAGAACTTATCCGGTTTTACAGTGCACTTGCGAAATGATCTCTGATCTCAATCTTGCTAGCTACTATTTTGTATTTTAATCAAGCAGATAAGGTAGTGATGTAGGTAGTGACAAAGACATGTTATGCTGGAACATGTTAAGCCAGAACATTTGAAAATGGTGGGAGGCAACATGGAGAGACTAAACACTGTAGCAGCCTCATATTAAACCACAACAAACAAATCTCTCTCTCTGTAGAAATTGACATCTTCAAATCAATTACCTTGAGGTGCGTAAACACCATTTTGCCCCTAGACCAGATCTCAAGTCAGTTTCACATTCTCCCCCATAATGGTTAAGGTTATGATTTGCCAAGATATTACTGATCTTAGATGTGTTCCTATGGCAGTGTGTGTGTGTTACCTATGTGGGCACCCCTGGCAGATCTTCTGGTCAGCAAAGGATCCACCCAGCACCTTACTGAGCATGGCTGGGTGACCCAGGGCTTTCAGAGCCTCGTCCAGACTGTCCACTAGAGAGTTGAAGAACTCCAGGGCATCGTGCTGCTCTCGCAGGTTCACCGGCTCACCCCATAACCTACAGGAGGGGATGAGGTTAGAAGGGATGGAGGGAGAGAGGGAAGAAAGGTGAGAGGAAAAGGTGGAGTAGCACTTTTGGGACTATAGCACTGGTTCCATTGTACAAGACAAACTAAACCAAGTGCAGGTCAAGTATTTTAAAGTATTTAAAAGGGACATTTAAAAACAAATTCTACTTCATATTCATAATCTCCAGCTCCAACCCAACATCAACACATGTGGTGAAAATTGCGTTTTTGTAGTAAAAAAGATAGGACGATAAGTGTTTTTAACGACATCACCAACCAATTAGTAGGAAATGCCTTCTCATAATTGGTTAAAATCACACGATGCACACCGATGTAATTAGAAACAACTATTTTCTTTATTAACCAATCCACCACCCCCCCCCCTCTTCAGAGGACAAATATATTTTTGTTTTTACAGCTTTTTTGCTACATATACATACATTTTACACACAGTATCACACTTTACATATTCATTGTACTTTTATATACAGCAACCACATAACAATAATACATTACCGAACATGAGCTCTTTAATCCCACCCCTCAGCCACTCTAGGCCCATCCCACCTATCACCGTAGACCACCCTCGTTTGGTTCCCATGTGCCATATATATTTTTCAATTGTGCTGTGATGTTTTACATGAATTTTGAAACTTTCTAATGGCATAGTATCCACAGATTCAGAGCTAAAGATGAAAACCTTTCAATGCCTTAGACCTACAAGTATTATATTATTGATTGATTATGGCTTTCCAAATTGCCCAACACCGTTATGTGTAAGGTTCATTTTAAGTGAATGTTGTGATTTATTATTATTTATTTACTGTACTTAACACTTTTTCTCCCCAATTTCGTGATATCCAAATTGGTAGCTACAGTCTTGTTCCATCCCTGCAACTCCCGTACGGACTCAGGAGAGGCGAAGGTCGAGAGCCATGCGTCCTCCAAAACACGACCCTGCCAAGCCGCACTGCTTCTTGACACACTGCTCGCTTAACCCGGATGCCAGCCGCAACAATGTGTCGGAGGAAACACCGTACAACTGGCGACCGAAGTCAGCGTGAATGCTCCCGGCCCGCCACAAGGAGTCGCTAGAGCGCGATGGGACAAGGAAATCCCGGCTGGCCAAACCCTCCCCTAACCCGGATGACGCTGAGCCAATTGTGCGCCGCCTCATGGGTCTCCCTGGTCGCGACAACAAGATTCTCTGGTCTGATGAAACCAAGATTGAAAGTCTTTGGCCTGAATGCCAAGTGTCATGTCTGGAGGAAACCTGGCACCATCCCTACGGTGAAGCATGGTGGTGGCAGCATCATGCTGTGGTGATGTTTTCCAGCGGCAGGGACTGGGAGACTAGTCAGGATCGAGGGAAAGATGAACGGAGCAAAGTACAGAGAGATCCTTAATGAAAACCTGCTCCAGAGCGCTCAGGACCTCAGACTGGGGCGAAGGTTCACCTTCCAACAGGACAACGACCCTAAGCACAAAGCCAAGACAACACAGGAGTGGCTTCGGGACAAGTCTCTGAATGTCCTTGAGTGGCCCAGGCAGAGCCCGGACTTGAACCCGATCGAACATCTCTGGAGAGACCTGAAAACAGCTGTGCAGCGACACTCCCCATCCAACCTGACATAGCTTGAGAGGATCTGCAGAGAAGAATGGGAGAAACTCCCCAAATACAGGTGTGCCAAGCTTGTAGCGTCATACCCAAGAAGACTCGAGGCAGTAATCGCTGCCAAAGGTGCTTCAACAAAGTACTGAGTAAATGGTCTGAATACTTATGTAAATGTGATATTTCCATTTTTTATACATATTCAAAAAAAATCTAAAAACCTGTTTTTGCTTTGTCATTATGGGGTATTGTGTGTAGATTGATGAGAAAACAACAATTTAATCAATTTTAGAACAAGGCTGTAGCGTAACAAAATGTGGAAAAAGTGAAGGGGTCTGAATACTTTCCGAATGCACTGAATAGTGTGTGTGTTTCTTTTTGACCATTTTGATTGAAAACGATCACAATAAGGGACTTAATTGTTACCCAGAATAATATAATAATAATAATAATAATAATATAATATGCCATTTAGCAGACGCTTTTATCCAAAGCGACTTACAGTCATGCGTGCATAACCCGGAGATCGAACCCACTACATTGGCGTTACAAGCGCCGTGCTCTACCAGCTGAGCTACAGAGGACCACAGAATGATTTGATATTGAGATAAACACAGCTGCATTGGGCCTTTAATATACTGGTATGTATTTGAACCATCTGGTTCTTCCAGGTTCTCCCCCCTCCACTGACCTGAACTGTTTCCAGAAGCCTCTCGGTATGTAGTACTGCAGTCTGGAGGAGGCCAGGTGGCCAAAGATGACCTGCAGGTGCCGCAGCACCCCGATGTTGTACTCCTTCCTGTCCTCCGACTTACTGAGCGACGGCTTGTCGTCAAACTGGTGGTGGTAGCTGAACACCTCGTCCCGCGAGTCCACGTTACTCTGTATGGGCAGATGGACACACAGGGTTAAGCTGGGTCCTGGTCATTAGGACACACAATGGAACATGTTTTAAACCACACACTGTGTTACCGCAACACCCCAGATCTTCAGTGCCATAAAAGTGTCTCAGCTAAGGAGCTAATTTCTGATTAGGGCAAGTATGAATGAACGACAACTACAGTATCAACTGCAGCTTTCAATGGAACTACAACTCAGCCTTCAACACCATAGAACCCTCCAAGCTCATCATTAAGCTCCAGGCCCTGGGTCTGAACCCCGCCCTGTGCCACTGGGTCCTGGACTTCCTGACGGGCCGCCCCCAGGTGGTGAAGGTAGGAAACAACACCTCCACTACGCTGATCCTCAACACAGGAGCCCCACAAGGGTGTGTGCTCAGTGTTGTTGGTGATCAGGCCTACTACTGTTGTCGTCTGCCAACTTGTTGATTAAGTTGGAAGTGTGCGTGGCCAAGCAGTCATGGGTGGCCACGCACACTTCCAACTTAAACAAATTGGCAGACGACAACAGTAGTAGGCCTGATTACCAACAACGATGAGACAGCCCACAGGGAGGTGATGAGGGCCCTGGCGGAGTGGTACCAGGAAAATAACATCTCCCTCAACATCAACAAATCGAAGGAGCTGATCGTGGACTTCAGAGGGAGCATGCCCCCATCCACATCGACCGCAGTGGAGAAGGTGAAAAGCTTCAAGTACACATCACTGACAATCTGAAATGGTCCACCCACACAGACAGTGTGGTGAAGAAGGCGCAACAGCGCCTCTTCAACCTCAGGAGGCTGAAGAAATTCGGCTTGGCCCCTAAGACCCTCACAAACTTTTACAGATGCACAATTGATAGCATCCTGTCGGGCTGTATCACCACCTGGTACGGCAACTGCACCACCACCAACCGCAGGGCTCTCCAGAGGGTGGTGCTGTCTGCCCAACGCATCACCGTGGGCACACTGCCTGCCCTCCAGGACACCTACAGCACCCGATGTCACAGGAAGGCCAAAAAGATCATCAAGGACATCAACCACCCGAGCCACGGCCTGTTCACCCCACTATCATCCAGAAGGCGAGGTCAGTACAGGTGCATCAAAGATGGGACCGAGAGACTGAAAAACAGCTTCTATCTGAAGGCCATCAGACTGTTAAATAGCCGGCTTCCACCCAGTACCCTGCCCTGAACTTAGTCGCTACCACCCGGTTAATTAGAGGCTGCTGCCCTATGTACATAGACATGGAATCACTGATCACTTTACTAATGTTTACATACTGTTTTACTCATTTCATATGTATATACTGTATTCTAGTCAATGCCACTCCGACATTGCTCATCCTAATATTTATATATTCTTAATTCCATTATTTTACTTTGAGATTTGTGTATATTGTTGTGAACTGTTAGATACTACTGCACTGTTGGAGCTAGGAACACAAGCATTTCACTACACCCGCAATAACATCTGCTAAATATGTGTACAGTGGGGGGAAAAAGTATTTAGTCAGCCACCAATTGTGCAAGTTCTCCCACTTAAAAAGATGAGAGGCCTGTAATTTTCATCATAGGTACATGTCAACTATGACAGACAAAATGAGGAAAAAAAATCCAGAAAATCACATTGTAGGATTTTTAATGAATTTATTTGCAAATTATGGTGGAAAATAAGTATTTGGTCACCTACAAACAAGCAACATTTCTGGCTCTCACAGACCTGTAACTTCTTCTTTAAGAGGCTCCTCTGTCCTCCACTCGTTACCTGTATTAATGGCACCTGTTTGAACTTGTTATCAGTATAAAATACACCTGTCCACAACCTCAAACAGTCACACTCCAAACTCCACTATGGCCAAGACCAAAGAGCTGTCAAAGGACACCAGAAACAAAATTGTAGACCTGCACCAGGCTGGGAAGACTGAATCTGCAATAGGTAAGCAGCTTGGTTTGAAGAAATCAACTGTGGAAGCAATTATTAGGAAATGGAAGACATACAAGACCACTGATAATCTACCTCGATCTGGGGCTCCATGCAAGATCTCACCCTGTGGGGTCAAAATGATCACAAGAACGGTGAGCAAAAATCCCAGAACCACACGGGGGGACCTAGTGAATGACCTGCAGAGAGCTGGGACCAAAGTAACAAAGCCTACCATCAGTAACACACTACGCCGCCAGGGACTCAAATCCTGCAGTGCCAGACGTGTCCCCCTGCTTAAGCCAGTACATGTCCAGGCCCGTCTGAAGTTTGCTAGAGTGCATTTGGATGATCCAGAAGAGGATTGGGAGAATGTCATATGGTCAAATGAAACCAAAATAGAACTTTTTGGTAAAAACTCAACTCGTCGTGTTTGGAGGACAAAGAATGCTGAGTTGCATCCAAAGAACACCATACCTACTGTGAAGCAAGGGGGTGGAAACATCATGCTTTGGGGGTGGAAACATCATGCTTTGGGGCTGTTTTTCTGCAAAGGGACCAGGACGACTGATCCGTGTAAAGGAAAGAATGAATGGGGCCATGTATCGTGAGATTTTTCCTTCCATCAGCAAGGGCATTGAAGATGAAACGTGGCTGGGTCTTTCAGCATGACAATGATCCCAAACACACCGCCCGGGCAACGAAGGAGTGGCTTCGTAAGAAGCATTTCAAGGTCCTGGAGTGGCCTAGCCAGTCTCCAGATCTCAACCCCATAGAAAATCTTTGGAGGGAGTTGAAAGTCTGTGTTGCCCAGCGACAGCCCCAAAACATCACTGCTCTAGAGGAGATCTGCATGGAGGAATGGGCCAAAATACCAGCAACAGTGTGTGAAAACCTTGTGAAGACTTACAGAAAACGTTTGACCTGTGTCATTGCCAACAAAGGGTATATAACAAAGTATTGAGAAACTTTTGTTATTGACCAAATACTTATTTTCCACCATAATTTGCAAATAAATTCATTAAAAATCCTACAATGTGATTTTCTGGATTTTTTTTCCTCATTTTGTCTGTCATAGTTGACATGTACCTATGATGAAAATTACAGGCCTCTCATCTTTTTAAGTGGGAGAACTTGCACAATTGGTGGCTGACTAAGTACTTTTTCCCCACTGTATGTGACCAATAACATTTTATTTGAACGAAACATGGATTAACTAACAAACGCAACAACCCCCCTATGACTAAACCCTAGTATTTGCTTTCAGAAAATTATACATTCCAAAGTTGTTCCTCGATACCGCTCTCTCCTGCATTACCTCGTTCTCCTGCTTCTCATCACCGGACATGTCATCGTCCACGTCGGTGCCGGTGCCCTCAATGGCCAGGATGCCGTTGCGTATGGGGGGGATCATGTAGAGCTGCTGGATGACTGAGTTCATGTAGCAGGTGGCCCCGGCGTTCTTCAGCCCCACAAAGCCTTTAGTGGGCCGCGGTCCCACCGGGGGGAGGTACTCCCACTCTGTCAGAGCCTCACAACCTGGGAGATTGGGGGGGGGGGGGGGTGGTCAATCGGCCATACACAATAACACAGGTGGGTAGGTTCTGTGCCTCACAACCTAAAGGGAAGTAAACCAGTGAGTAAGTTCTTATCACTTTAGATTGTATCACTAAATTTAAGCATAGAGTTGCAGGGATGTGATCGCCCCAACATAAATCGAGAAGAAAGACTAATGTAATGATGAGATAAAGAACTAGAGTTAGGAATAGTATTTCTGGCTTTCTGAGGTGCAAAAGTTCATCAGTGAAAGTTAATGGAGAACAAATAAATCTGTGTAGTTTTCCTCTTAGAGCTCCTACCTAGGTAGTACATGTCAGTGAGCGTGTCGACCATCTGCTTGAGGTTCCGGACACAGCCCACAGCCAGCGCCACAAGCAGCTCGAAGCCTGCGTTGATAGAGGCGGGGCTGCTACAGACAGGGATGGCCTGCTCCGTGGGGAACTCCCCACTCTTCATGTACTGCAGGTACACATTAGATGCTGGGAAAAATGAAGTCATCTATCAACTCCTGGAGAGAGGGGGGGGGGGAGAGAGAGAGGAGGGAGTAGGGGGAGAGAGAGCGAGAGTTAGTATAGGGTAAGAAAGTAACATTTACTGCTTGCGGCACATTTATTACAGCCACGTACAAATATGAAGGTCACTGCTAAAAAACATTTTTTAAAATTTATTTATTACCACATAAGATCATTCTAGAAGCTTCTGGCGGGCCAAATCAAATGTTGTCGAGGGCCAAGTTTGGCCTGCGGGCCCCACTAATGTCGGTGAATAAGTAAAAATATTAAATTCAATACAAAATGGACGCCAGCCTACCTTGATGAGGTTGGCCCCTCCCTTCTCACAGCCGATGTAGTACTTCTTCTCTGATGTCTGGAAGGCCAGCAGCTCCTTGGTGACCCCGATGTGGCCCTCCAGGATGGTTTCCTCCACGCCCGTCTCCCCTGTCCTCTTCACCTCATCCTGGGATACACACACAGTAGTCACAACCAGGGTCCTATTCATTAAGCACCGAACAGTACAAAACAGAGAAGGACTACATGGACTTCTCCAATTACAACTGCTTGCTTGCCCTTGCCCCCCCCCCCACCCACCCATTCCCCCCCACCCATTTTTATACATTGTAAGGCTGCATGATGCGACTAATGATGATTATAAAAAAGTTGCTTGAAAGGTATGATCTCTGCTTTGTTTTTTGCTTCATCAGTCTCTCATTTATAATTTGACAAGCACTTGATAATGCCTTGAATTTCCCGGCGGCATCTCCTTTGTTTGGCCGTAACGCACCCTAACAAAATCCATGCCATTTGCGGCCAGCGGCCGTAGTTCCCTACTCCTGGAGTGCTGCGTGTTCCGAAGCACCTCTCACATTGCTCTCCATCACAGGCTACAAGTGAAGACAGACACTTCGGGGACGCAACTGCGCGCGTCCTTATCCAATTCTGAGGTATGTATTGAAGATATGGGAAGAACTGTCCACATTTACTTTTCGTCAGCCAACAAGATGAGTAGACCTCACGAACAACAAAATCACTTGCCTATGTCAATCTACTACCCCCCATAGTACAAAAGTTGACCTACTCTATTCTGTGCGAGAAATAAATATTCCAAACATAGTCTGGTACAGTTGTGGGTTGCGATTGATCCCAAAATAATACAACCACTAGCATCAAAAACACTTTTTACGCAATGAGGCTGACGCAACAGATCAGAAAGTTAGCTTAAAATGTGATAAACTATTAGGCTATTTCTTCACATTATAAGTGCATCAATGCGCACACTGCAGTAGGCTATAAGTGCGAATGTTCCATTAGCGGGAAAACACCATTATCAAAAGTGACCGCAAATGCAATTATGCATGTATTACTTTTATTATAAAAGGTGCATTTTTATGGTGACTTGAAACTCACGTGCTGCTTATGTATGCCAGTTAGGCTCTACGCCCCTTGTAAAGCAGATTAATGTGCTTAATTTTAAGAAGTTATTTGGCCACTTTAGTTGTGATACAAACCTTATCAAAACATACTGTATAGAGGCCTATGGGCTAGGCTACATGAGGTGTGCGACTACTATTCAAAAAAAAGAAAGAAAAAAGGCTTTGTTTCTTGCCTTACGCTGGGCATTATTCACAAGTGATAATATATCATTCACAAGTGATAGGCTAATATTGTCAACCATCAGACTATTCTTGATTTAATCTTGTCTTTACATATACTAAATAATATATGTGTGCAATTAGTTTTTATTTAAAATGGACCATTATCATGCACCGGTCTTGAAACCGGGGCAGGGGAAAAAATTTATGTCATCTATGCACTTAAATAGCAAATGGAGGACGCTTTTGCCGCGATTCATTTTCATGCCAGCCAGGTAGGTTATACTCCAGTTGTAAAGATAAGCAATGTGCTTAATATTAGGAAAGTTGAGAAACAAATATAGTAGGCCTAGCCTATAGAAAGCTGATGGGATCCTCCTCTTTTTAATAGAGGCCATCACTCTGTTTTCTCTCGCAATTGCATAGCCTATAGAAATGTTGCGCAACATGAGCTCATGGGCTCTCATGAAGTGTTTGATTAGATTTTCGATTAGATTTGCATTGATGTCATAGTGATTAGAGGGACAATAGAGTGCTGACTACCAGGCAGTTAGCAAGTTTGGTAGGCTACTAATGACCATCAGCAGCATCAGAGCTTGGAGAAGCATAGTTACCGTGACTAAACGGTCAAGTGGAATGTGACTGCCTTCATGACTCGTGACCGCCGGTGTGGCGGTAATACGGTCACCACAACAGCCCTAGCTCTGACCAAGGACTAGAATCTCAGCCATGATCTGAAATTAACTCAACACAAAGCTCAGGGGCATTATTCATGACACAATGTCTGGATGAAACATGGTCGTACCCTGATCCTCTTGAGCCAGTCGATTTCATTGTTGAGCAGCACCTCTGCGTTGGGCAGGTTGATGTTGCTGTTGTAGGCGTAGTTCAGGAGGTGCCTGAGCAGGGTGAAGTAGTCCCCAGCATGCTTGGCCCGCTCCTTAGCTGTGCTCTGGAACACACACAGAGAGTATTGTACATTCACATTAGTACTGTATTACCTGGAGCAGCAAGAGATCCATGTTGGAATACTTTATAGGGAATGTTTTTAAAAAGCTGTTGAAAAGCCATGAAAACCAGTTGACAGCTTTCTTAACACCGCCTACTTTATACAGTATTACATTTACGTCATTTAGCAGACGCTCTTATCCAGAGCGACTTACAAATTGGTACAGTACATGCATACCTTCTCCCTTCCTTCCTTGAAGTGATCACTGCTCTCTCATGGCTGGAAAGGTGAAAGCTATGATATAATAAAACCTTTGATCGTATTTGGGAGATCAGTGATAAGTTCAACGAAGGTAGGCAGTAAGAGTGCAAGTTCAATGTATCTGAACAGGGCCATGATTGCAATGAAAGTAATGTAAAACCCCAAAGCACTCATGTATGAGCGAGGTGCTGATACGTACCCCCAGCACAGCACAGAGAGAGGTGCTGATACGTACCCCCAGCACAGTGAAGAGAGAGGTGCTGATACGTACCCCCAGCACAGTGAAGAGAGAGGTGCTGATACGTACCCCCAGCACAGTGAAGAGGAGGGTGATGAAGAAGAGAAGGGGTCGATGGCCCATGCAACACCTGGTAGCCATGAGGAAGAACTGCTCCTGGGCCATCTGACGAACTGATCTGGAAACAGATCAGAGAGGACCATTATACAACAGACAAACTAATCCATCAATCCACCAACTGACCTGGGGACAGATCAGAGAGGACCATTATTACCATAGACTCAGGCCACCCCACATGCTCGTCCACTACAAGAAGCCGTTAGAACAGAGACCATTGTGGTACACCAGCAGCAACCACCCTTGAGGAGTGGCAGGCTGCTGTTCCAGCCAAACACTAAAACATCTTCATTTACATTTTGATTATTTAGCAGACGCCATTTAGCAGACGCTCTTATCCAGAGCGACTTACAGTCAAGTGCACATCTGACGCTGATAGACAGGCAAACTGGCACACACACACACACACAGGTCGTCTCCTTACACAGAAACACAGCGGGGGGTACATACTTGCTGTGGCAGTGCAGTAGCAGGTCTATGATGAAGGTCTGCCAGGCCTTCTCCTTGCTGAGTGTGTCCAGAGCCGTGGGCAGCAGGGAGAAACACAGGGTCATGACCTCCAGGGCCTCACAACACACCTGCTCATCCTCCCCGTCCGGCTCCTTACCCGCATTCGTCTGTAGAGGGGGAGAACACACACCACTTTGAGTTTATAACACACACAAATATACACACACCTCTTCTCTGTATTTCAGGAAGCAGGTGCACACAATCAACCAACTAGTCACTTCAGCAAGCACCACACACACACAGAATGAGTGTATGACAGACATTAAACGCTCAACCATGACTGAACAATACACACAAAAACACATACTACAAAACCAGATCTGTGACTGTATAGGCTAAACAATACACACTAGCCTAATCAAGTTAGAAAATACACTAACAACAAACAATTGTGAACTGTTAATAGAAAGAAAATCAATGAGTGCAGTGGCCTACACAACAGCTCACTATACAGCAATGTATCTGCACACTCCAATCTCCTAAGACTGAGACCAAAATAAAGCAGATCAATCAATCAATGGACTGATGATCAAAGAATAAGCAGCCATACGTACCTTCTCGTAGATCTTGCTGATCTCTTCGTTGGAGCTAAAGACTAGCTGTACGGTGCCACAGCCCGACGCCCACACTATCTTCTGCACCGCCCGGATCACACAGATGTCTGGGATGTACTTTGACGCCTGGAAGAAGTTCTGGAGGAGACGAGAGTGAAAAGGAGGGAGGGAGAGAATAGTTCAATTACAGCAGATATTACAGTCATCAACATAGTAGCCTACATACAGTCTGTCCTTCTACCCCATCTCTTTCTCTCTCCCCACTTATTTTATTCCTAATTTCTCTTTAATCTCTCTTTTCCCTCCCCGTTTCTTTCCCTCCCTCTCACCTCGTCAGAGATCTGTTGAGCTAGGCGTATAGCTACGTTGCGGAGCATACACTCAGAGGCAGGGTTGGGGATGTTCTGCAGGGCACTCTGGAGGACCAGGGCTTGGTCATGAGTGGCCTGGTTGATCTGAAGAAAGGGGGAGAGAGGATGTTAGCAATAACATGGCCATCACAATCCTGGTTCTACTTCGCATGCATGCGTTTGTGTGTGTGTGTACGCGTCTCTGTGTGTGTGCATGCGTGCGTCTCAGTGTGTGTGTGTGTGTGTGCTTGCGTGCGTGCGTCTAACCAACTAACCGGTGAGACTGGTATGGTCCCCTCAGCGTTGGGCTGGCAGGCCTCAGCCACAGCTTTAACGTGTCCGAACCCCACAGCAGTGAGCAGCAGCTTGCCGATCTTTAGGGCGTTGAGGTACGCCCCCCGCCGCGTCTCCATGTCGGCCGAAGGCAGGAAGTTGTTCCGCGTGAGCATGCTCAGTACAAGAGGCAGCCCACCACTCTTCAGGAAGTTGTATTGGAAGTCACTGGCGTCCTCCCCCAATGTGGCGCTGGCTGGCATGAGTAGGGCATACACCACCTGAGCAAGGGAGGGGGAGAGATGTACAAACACACACAGTGGAAGTGGTCAACAGAGAGCAAAGCGTACACCACCCGGTATGGTAATGACGAGACAGTCAATCAGCTGTGATCACACACGATGAGACCCACCTCTATGAGATAGAGGACTTGTGATGGCGAGGGGCCAAAGAAGCGTGAGTCCAGTGTGGGACTGAGGCTGTTCTCTCCCAGCTTGGCATGGTCCAGACACACGGCACGCAGGATCTCCACGGTACTGTTATCTACACAAACACAATCAACAGGCCATTTACACATCCCACGTCTTTTTTTGTTTTAACCATGTTTTGATGCTATACAGGATTTATTTTACAATTACAACCTTATATTTTGGGTTCCGATAGAGTATGACAGTTGAACTATACACATGAGGCATTTATAGTTATATTCTTCAACAATGAATGGTATACCATTCATTTTAAGGTCTAAAAATGTATGTAGCAATTACAGATTGCCCCTATAAAGTGTGTGTGTGTGAGAGTACCTGGAGGCATGAGCTTCATGAGTACCCTGGCTCCATCTCGTAGCAGAGGCATGTTAAGGCTACAGCCCAGGTCCGCTACCTGCCACAGGAAAGAGATGTAGCGCAGGTGGAGAGACATGATCTGGAGACAGAGAGAAGAGCGAACAGACAAGGGGTTAACATTGTTCCATTTACTCATCTGCAGTCATACATTTTGAATTGTTTTCTAGGCAAGGACCGAGAGAGTTAGGCACCCTTCCTGATGAGGTGAGAGGTGAAGCGCCACTCCGGGGAAGTTTGTGTGTGTGTGTGTGTGTGTGTGTGTGTGTGTGTGTGTGTGTGTGTGTCGCTCACCACTCCAGGGAGACAGCTCTCCACCTCTGGGTTGGGCCCGTCGCTGAAGTGGTTGCCGTGGTTACCAGGTGAGCCGGTGGAAGAGTCCGAGGAGCTGTCTGGGCTGGACGGCATATTGGCACTCACCTGGGTCAGCTTGGCTGTGATCAACTACAGACACACAGACACCATAGGGGAGAATATAAGACATCAGACAAACCATTTCCTATAAATAATCAAAGAAGAAAATGACCTATACAAACAAGCTGTAAAGAAGGCACCTGTGACATGAGGCTCGTCAAAACACTGCTCATTACGCTTACCGTTTTATCTTTGAGGTTGAGCTGGCCAATCAGCTTTCTGTCGTCGGCCGGGTCGACGACATCCCCGCCAATGAAGAGCTCTATCTTGGTGTGCGTGGCGTTGGCCTTGATGCGTGTGAGGATGCCGCGGCGCACCGAGCCGATGGTGTCGTTGGTGTGAGACCAGATGTCCAGGTCGTCCACCTGACGGCCCTGGTTAGGGAAACGCACAGTCAACGTGATGTGCTTCCCCCGGAATGCCCTGAGAGGGAGAGATAAGAGGGCGCGAGAGAGAGAAGACCGGTGAGGGTGAAGTGGTTTGTGGGAAGAAAAAGGTCAGCACAACAAGCTTAAACTCAGTGCTTCTGTGCTCCCCTACCTGGACATGGGCAGTATGGTCCTTTCCTCATGGTAGTCGCTGTCACACTCGTTGATGTACTCCTTGAGCACGGTGAGCACACGGACCATGCGGATGGCCTCCTGCCGGGCCCAGTTGATGCTGTCCTTGTCCCCGTCCAGGACACACAGCGTATCGTACGACGCCTTCAGACGGTCGAAACACGACTGGATGAAATCCTCGTGGATCTCTACCTGCATGGGGGACAGGAGGGGGAGTGAGTTCAGTAGAAGGGGATACATGTCTAATGGTTGACATACGGTTTGTCTGGAACTGCAGTGTTCCAATCCATCCCTCAGATAATGTGCAATAGTGATTCCAGAGGAATGGATTGGAAAACATTGTTACTGTACCGAGGTATCACACAGACTGTCCCGTTCAGGTTTGTATCAACTATCATTGATTGGCAATACAATAACTTTTACAGTGTTTATATTTAGGTGGCTGTCTCAAAATGGCTAGATGATTTAGGATGACCTAATAGCAGATTGAGCTGTTATTGTTACCGGGACGAAGGGCACCCAGGTTACCTGATTGACTTGTAGTTTTGGTCCGAGGTTGGTGTAGATCTCTTTCAGCAGGTCTATAGCTCGACTGGCGATGTCATCGCTCCCTTGAATTACGACCTGGCAGGAGGAAATAACAGACGGAATCAATGGACGCCTACGGCCCTCACCATCAAACAGCCCTGGAGACAACACTGAAGAGAGAGTGTGAGTGGTATGACTCATCATCCAGACTAGAGGGTCATTAATAAGCACTCAGCAGCAGCACACAGAAACATCACCAATCACAACCACTGGCCCTGAGCTGCCCTCACACACTAACAGCAGTACATTAACCCTGTGTGTGTGTGTGTGTGTGTGTACCACGCAATGCTTACCAGCCAAATCAATAACATCAGTGAATGAGCTTTACTTAGGATGCAATAAAATAAATTATTCACAACCAAACATCGCATATGAGGAAATCATGACCTCAAATGTAGCCTAGGCCCCTACTGTGTAAACAGGCCTAATACCAAAATATACAATAACACAACTCCTGAATCAGCTATTCATAGCAAGTGAGAACAAGGTTTAGAAATCCCACATCTAAAACAAATTAAGTGAATCATCTAATATGCCCAGTGTGAATAACAATGTTAGAATAACACTTGAAGCCAACACAGGAAATGCAACAGATTCTCCCATTGAGGGATTACAGGCCATGTATGTCACTAAAACAAACAGATAGGCCGCTGATGCTAACTGGGTCATCCACCGCCCTCGCTCTCTCTCGCGCCCCCATCCATAGTCTAAATCAATCAGTTCAAAGCAGCTCCTGAAACAATCCCACAGAAGCCAGAGGTTTATATACACATGGAAATGACTAATGAGCATAATCTCAAATAGCAGCATTCGAGGAGATGGTCTTTGAAGTTGTGCATTTTGAATTTGGGCTTGGTGAGACAGAAAACAATATATTTTTTGCACTAGTCGCCTGTACCTGCGTCAGAATGTCAGTATTTTAAAATGGTGAGCCAATTTTTTTCAACACTTATTTACATGACTGATGAAAACTAGTTCTCATGGCTCTCTCTCTCGTCCTTCTGCAGCATACATATTGTGAGCAATATGTTTGGAATTGAATCACTATATAAACTGCGCATTTGGAAAGTATTCAGACCCCTTGACCTTTTTCACATTGTTACGTTACAGCCTTATTCTAAAAAAAAAAAAATCTTCATCAATCTACACACAATACCCCATAATGACAAAGCAAAAACAGGTTTTTAGAAATGTTTCCAAATTTATAAAAACTAAAAAACGGAACTATCACATTTACTTAAGTATTCAGACCCTTTACTCAGTACTTTGTTGAAGCACCTTTGGCAGCAATTACAGCCTCAAGTCTTCTTGGGTATGACGCTACAAGCTTGACACACCTGTATTTGGGGGAGTTTCTCCCATTCCTCTCTGCAGATCCTCTCAAGTTCTGTCAGGTTGGATGGGGAGCGTTGCTGCACAGCTATTTTCAGGTCTCTCCAGAGATGTTAGATCGGGTTCAAGTCCGGGCCACTCAAGGACATTCAGAGACTTGTCCCGAAGCCACTTAGGGTCGTTGTCCTGTTGGAAGGTGAACCTTCGCCCCAGTCTGAGGTCCTGAGCACTCTGGAGCAGGTTTTCATCAAGGATCTCTCTGTACTTTGCTCCGTTCATTTTTGCCTCGATCCTGACTAGTCTCCCAGTCCCTGCCGCTGAAAAACATGCCCACAGCATGATGCTGCCACCACCATGCTTCACCGTTGGGATGGTGCCAGGTTTCCTCCAGACGTGACGCTTGGCATTCAGGCCAAAGAGTTCAATCTTGGTTTCATCAGACCAGATAATCTTGTTTCTCATGGTCTGAGAGTCTTTAGGTGCCTTTTGGCAAACTCCAAGCGGACTGTCATGTGCCTTTTACTGAGGAGTGGCTTCCATCTGGCCACTCTACCATAAAGGCCTGATTGGTGGAGTGCTGCAGAGATGGTTGTCCTTCTGAAAGTTCTTCCATTTCCACAGAGGAACTCCAGAGCTCTGTCAGAGTGACCATCGGGTTCTTGGTCACCTCCCTGACCAAGGCCGGGCGGCAAGCTCTAGGAAGAGTCTTGGTGGTTCCAAACTTCTTCCATTTAAGAATGATGGAGGCCACTGCGTTCTTGGGGACCTTCAATGCTGCAAAAACATTTTGGTAGCCTTACCCAGATTTGTGCCTCGTCACAATCCTGTCTTGGAGCTCTACAGACAATTCCTTTGACCTCATGGCAACTGTGGGACCTTATATAGACAGGTGTGTGCCTTTCCAAATCATGTCCAACCAATTGAATTTACCACAGGTGTACTCCAATTAAGTTGTAGAAACATCTCAAGGACGATCAATGGAAACAGGACGCACCAGAGCTCAATTTCGAGTCTCATAGCAAAAGGTGTGAATACTTGTGTAAATACATTTATTTATTTGCTAAAATTTCTATAAACCTGTTTTTTGCTTTGTCATTATGGGGTATTGTGTGTAAATTGATGAGGGAAAATAATAATTTAATCAATTTTAGAATAAGGCTGTAACGTAGCAAAATGTGGAAAAAGGGAAAGAGTGAATACTTTCCGAATGCACTGTATATGTATATAAATAATTGTGAGAATCGCAATACATATCGTATCAACACCTAAGTATCGTATCTTGACTTCCCTGGCAATTCCCAGCCCTACTTACGAGTAGCAACAGCTGTCTGTTATATTGATAAGTAAGGTTTATAACTCACCCTCCAGAGGTAGTCCAGTCCTATGAGCTCCAGGTCGTCCATCATGTAGGCCCTGCGTTTGGCCACCAGCTTGCCCTCCCGGCAGTTGACAGCCTTGAAGAACCTCTCAAAGCACTTCATGCCGTTCTCCGTGAGCAGAGATGGGTCCAGCTGGAGGACGTTGTTCTCAAAGAAGTCCTTGTTGATGTCTGGGTCCAGGTCGGGCTCATCTCCCATCAGCTTGGAGTACCTGGGGATGAACAACAGAGTTGAGTTGGTGTTCTTTTGTTGTTGAGAACATTCAAGTTAAGAAAATGTAGAATATTTGACTTGTTCTCTATGAATGAGACAAAGGAAATAACGTCAATAGAAACATGTTGAAGCCATATTCACCCTTTCGAGGTGATAATATTGATGATGGCAGCGTACCATTTGAAGCAGGCCTCTCTGTCACAAAGGAAGACAGCATTTTCGGCCAGGCACTTCCAGATCTGTTTGGCCTGAGGAGCACAGAGCCACAACTGGCCATCCTTCAGCAGGAACCTGGGGACAACATAGACACATACATTAACCATGAAGATCAGACTACAGTGGCTCAGTTCATGGTTCAATTCCATTCATTGGATTCATGAAGATGGAGAGCTGGGTTGTATTCATTAGGTCACGCAAAGGAAAACGTTTTAAAGAGTTTTGCAAAGGAAAACAACAATTAGTGCTTCTTATTGGACAAGTCCAGACAATGACTCCTGACTGTTTCAGTGTGTTTTCTTCAGTTTGGAGCCTAATGAATACAACAACCCTGCAGATGTGATGTCATACCTCAGGAAGTTGAGTCTCTCCTGGACTTCCTGTACGTGGCTGTAGCGACTCCCTGCCCTCACCGTCTGGGGGTCAAAGTCTGCCTGCTCGGCTACACAACACACAGGACCATCTACATGAAGGCTCAACGTGCACCTTTAAATGTTTTTCAAATGGAAAACTAACATGCCAATTGCCCCAGGGTTAGATACAGAGGGTAGAGAACAGAGAAACACACTGAGTGTACAAAACATTTCCATGACAGACTGACCAGGTGAAAAGCCATGGCCACTTGTTAATCGACTGGTCGATCTTCAAGGCATTCCTAGTCGATCACCAAACATTTCTGTAGAAAAGCCAATGATAAAGGCTTGCCCTCCTTTTATTTATTTGATTTGCACTGTTGGCGGTAGGTGTACTTGATTCAGAAGCCCTGCGCACCAGGTTGGCAAAGTGTTCCCATTTTGAACCATTTCATTTGTCTGAAAAGACAAACTCCGCCTAACCGGCAGATCTATGGCTAAATTGAGTGCGCCTACTGCGCTGGCCAATTGGATTGCTCAAATCACTGTGCTTACAAGTTTGATACTAGCCTACGTGAAATTTCATAACATTTAAAACCATGAACAGAGAGAGACCGTCAAAGAAAACAGCAGAGTTGCTGTTTTTATGAGTTCATGTAAAAAAAAAAAAAAAAAAAAAAAAAAAAAAAAAAAATATATATATATATATATATATATATATATATATATTCAGCACTGTCACTGTTTTTATTCAACACTATTACAAAACATAAAACCTCTTCTCCCTATTCCCACTCACGCTGCAATGAATGAGTAGCCCTGCATTTGTATTATTATTAGCAGCTCATCATGTCCATTTTAATAAAGGAATATTTCACCTTCACTGGTCATAGGGACAACATTAATTTGTGCTCGAGTCAGATGTGACTCGAGTTTCGCCATCAGGTGGAAGACTGTCCTCTCTCTCTGGTCAGTCTCACCGGAGGAACGGCAGGAGACAGCAGGGACCGCGAGAGGATGACCCTCTGCTGCTCTCTCCTTCCCTTCGCTAAGACTAATGCAGTGTTCAAAACATCTGATAACTCTGACATCTCCGACTTCAGTGTGTTCAATACAACTGAAAAAAAGAAAATATAGATCCGACTGGGGAAAATCGTTTTGAACAGTCATCCAACTCGGAATTGTTGGAAACACTGGCATATTTCTAGAGCCCCGACTTTTCGACCTGAACATCACGGACGTCGTGATTTTACCTCAAACATCATTCCTACAGAACTGTTTTTAATGGGTTAATGTTACATTTTTTAAGTCATGTTTAAAAAAAACAGCGGTAGATCTCGGCTTGCTTTTTGACTGCGAAAGTGATCTTTACTCAGAAAAGGTAGGTGACCACTGGTGTAGATGAAGGGGAGGAGATAGGTTAAATCATTATTTTCAAGCCTTGAGGCAATTGAGACATGGATTGTGTATGTGTGCCATTCAGAGGGTGAATGGGCAAGACAAACTATTTAAGTGCCTTTGAACAGGATATGGTAGTAAGTGCTAGGCGCACCGGTTTGAGTGTGTCAAGAACTGCAGCGCTGCCATGTTTTTCACGCTGAACAATTTCCTGTGTGTATCAAAAATGGTCCACCACAAAAAGGACATCCAGCCTACTTGACAACTGTTGGAAGCATTGGAGTAAATATGGGCCAGCATCCCTGTGGAATACTTTCAACACCTTGTAGAGTCCAAGACCCGACGAATTGAGGCTGTTCTGAGGGCAAAAGGGGGTGCAACTCAATATTAGGAAGGTGCTCCTAATGTTTTGTACACTCAGTGTAGTATTTCTGAAGAAGTCTGAAAGTCAAGAATGAGGCAATCGTGATTAATGAGAAAATCTAATCTACTGTGTCAGGTGGGCCGTACCTTTAGAGAACTGCCTCATGGTCTCCATGTAGGCAGAGAGGTTCTCAGCCACCAGCGTGACCAGAGCATGGTTGTGTTGGAGCTGGTTGATCAGGTCATGACGATAGAACACATGAGGACTCCTCTGGGTCTGACTGTATAGCAGAGAGAGATATGGAGAGAGAAAGAGAGAAAGATAGTTGAAGGGAGAGAGAGCGAGGGAGAGAGATGGTGGAAAAGAGAGACAGAAAAGTTCAGAGCCTTAGCCCCCATGTCCATGACAAGTAGACAACATCAACTTTTACTCCCACCCCTACTAATGAAATGATTACAATGATTTATGTGTAGAATTAGTGGAATGTGGTTGCTTCTCTGCATCTGTAGTAAAGAAAGCAATATTGGTATATCCAGTGTTCTAACCAGTAACCCATGATCTGTGTGTGTGTGTGTCTGTAGCAAGAGGAATGTTGAGGAATTTCAGTCTTAAAATTACTAGGATGTTGTGTTTCGGAAATGTGAGTATGCAGCACCCTCAGAAATGTCCCCAAAATGTCGCCCTGCAAACAGTCAGTGATTGGAGCTAAGAAGAGCTGGTGCAGAAAGAGATGCATTTGAGCGTGACACCCTATTCCCTATGTATTGCACTACATTTGCACCCAATTCCCCAAATAATGCACTACTTGACAAGAGCCCTGTGTGGCTCTGGTGAAAAGTAGTGCACTATTTGGGGTCATTTGTGGCTCTGGTCAAAGGTAGTGCAGCAGTTTATAAGGAATAGGGTGTCATTTGAGATTTACCCTGAGAGAGGTTTGCTAAAGCAGATTAATGAATGAAAATAAACATTACAGATCTGTTGCACCATCTGAGAGAGAGTAAATTAGACATTATTTACCATTTATAAAAAAATTGCCATAATATCCCCCAAATTAGCTGTCAACTTACCCCGCTAAGTTCGTTTGTATGTTAATAGGAATTTTCTTTCTGAAAAACAACAGGCATGTGGTGTGCTACATATTTGCTGCATTTACTTGTACTACTTCAGTCAGTACAACTGCACGTTGTTATTAAAAGCAGCAACTTATTCAACAATCTCTATGCTACTTTGAGCTCAGCGTTTAAGAAGCAAGACACATTCGCTCAGTTTTAGTCTTTAAGAATGCTCCCTGTCTAAGCATTAGTGAAAACTGGTCAAACTAGATGGCAAGGTCAATGACAGACTGTTGACAGAAAATCCCTGTTTACTAAATAGTTGGCATGCCTCAGCCTCTCTGGAAATGTTATTAAAATGCCAGAGACATCAGGTGTCAGCTATGTGAAAAATCAAGGCCATGCTTTAAAGGCGTAGAGCAAATGTATAGCCAAGCACAGCATTCTGAGCACAACAAAAAACTTTTTTTTTTTTTTTTAATGGGGTGAAATATTTCAATATTTAAAATGTTGCAGATAGAAATGTATAGTATAGAGCTGACAATTCCCTTTTCTACATGACAAAAAACATGTCTGCTCTACACTGTGCATTTCTATTTGTTACGTTATGTCCTGAATAATACTCAATTCGTACTAATTCTGTTTCCATATCTTTGTCAATCACTAGCATGTTCAACAGTTGATGAACTATGTCCCTCCTCCAAGCCTGTAGTTGAATTCTGACCATCTCCTTACCTAAGATTCTGAGGAGCCTCTCCGAACAGGCTACAGATCTCTCGGATCTGCTTTAGTGCAGGAATCACCCATTTGTCATTGGTGCGCAATTCTTCTATGAAGCGATCGATCCACTGGATCTTCTGCGTGTCTCTATCCTGAAATGAACACAAACATAAACATCAGTATTCAAGGAAAACACACACACAGCCATAAGCCGATCCTTGCAAACACTCCAACAGACCCCTTAAAATACATCTTCATTGATTGGTTCTCAGTACCTTGAGCTGTGTGGGAAAGCAGTCGCCTGGCTCTTGACCGGTACCTATTATTACCTGAGAGCAACTGTAGTCCAATATCTTGATGTGAGCACTGAGGGCCTGGTCCATGATGTCTACAGGCACGTCGTCGCTGTGAGCCAGGTTCCACAACAGGTTCAGCACCTTGTGGTGAGAGGAGGAGAGTAGCCTTCAGTACTCATATCCAAACAGGGCACAAGAGCTGGAAAAATACATATCTTTAACCAGGGCTCGACATTTGGAAACCCCTCGGGCCAGTCTATCATCCCAGTCAGTGGCCCGCTTGGTCCAGTGAAGATAATATTGTAATAATGCTATTTTTAATCTAGGATATATAACGGTTTTAAAAAAAACATAGGAATTCCCGAAGCTGTTAGTTCGTTATGTACCCTGAACAAAAATAAGCACAACATGTAAAGTGTTGGTCCCATGTTTCATGAGCTGAAAAAAAATATCCCAGAAATGTTCCATATGCACAAAAAGTTTGAGAATTTGGCAGTACGTCCAACCGGCCTCACAACCGCAGACCACATGTTACCACCCCAGCCCAGGACCTCCACATTCGGCTTCTTAAACTGCAGGACCGTATGAGGAGTATTTCTGTCTGTAATAAAGCCCTTGTGTCCAATTTGTAAGTCGCTCTGGATAAGAGCGTCTGCTAAATGACTTAAATGTAAATGTGAGGAAAAAACACATTCTGATTTGCTGGGCCTGGCTCCCCAGTGGCTGCACCCCTGCCCAGTCATTTGAAATCCATAGTTGAATTTATTTCAATTTACTGATTACCTTATATGAACTGTAACTCACAAAAATCGTAGAAATTGTTGCATGTTGCGTTTATATTTTTGTTTATCACGCACGCGCCGCACACATAGCCTAGTTTGAGATAATCTGTTGGGCAGAGAGAGCGCGCAGCTGTCAAACAGCTGGTTGTTTCGTGGAGCAGCTCACCGAAGACCGACAGCAGTAGGGGTAGGAAAGATGTTGCAAGTTATGATATCTACCTGTAAATGCTAAGGCCAGAAAGGGTATGCAAACCAGGTATTTAAAAAGTCCTGGAACATTTGCGATGTGCAATTCAGTCATCATGGAATACCCTATCTTGAATTCAGACATTTCATCTAGGCTATTTGGTCCTTGAAAAGTCCTTGACGTTCCGGTAGCCGATTTAGAAGTTCAACGGCTCCAATATAATTAGGCCTATTCGTGATGTCATTTCTGATCAGTTTTTATGAGCGATGTAGCCACTTTTGTTTGTTTCCCGCCATTTCAATTGATAGGTGCTGCGCTAGTCGGTTGCTTTTGTTGTGGTAAAACCATGTACGGTTATTATGCGCAAAACAACATTGAATGTTGGCTTCAACTTCGTTTCCATAGAAACAGTCATTACAAAGGGAACCCTAATGTATACTTTTTTTCATACATTTTTTGGTGAAGTTATATTTCTATAGGCTATTACAACAATTAAATACACTGCTCAAAAAAATAAAGGGAACACTAAAATAACACATCCTAGATCTGAATGAATGAAATAATCTTATTAAATACTTTTTTCTTTACATAGTTGAATGTGCTGACAACAAAATCACACAAAAATTATCAATGGAAATAAAATGTATCAACCCATGGAGGTCTGGATTTGGAGTCACCCTCAAAATTAAAGTGGAAAACCACACTACAGGCTGATCCAACTTTGATGTAATGTCCTTAAAACAAGTCAAAATGAGGCTCAGTAGTGTGTGTGGCCTCCACGTGCCTGTATGACCTCCCTACAACGCCTGGGCATGCTCCTGATGAGGTGGCGGATGGTCTCCTGAGGGATCTCCTCCCAGACCTGGACTAAAGCATCCGCCAACTCCTTGACAGTCTGTGGTGCAACGTGGCGTTGGTGGATGGAGCGAGACATGATGTCCCAGATGTGCTCAATTGGATTCAGGTCTGGGGAACGGGCGGGCCAGTCCATAGCATCAATGCCTTCCTCTTGCAGGAACTGCTGACACACTCCAGCCACATGAGGTCTAGCATTGTCTTGCATTAGGAGGAACCCAGGGCCAACCGCACCAGCATATGGTCTCACAAGGGGTCTGAGGATCTCATCTCGGTACCTAATGGCAGTCAGGTTACCTCTGGCGAGCACATGGGGGGCTGTGCGGCCCCCCAAAGAAATGCCACCCCACACCATGACTGACCCACCGCCAAACCGGTCATGCTGGAGGATGTTGCAGGCAGCAGAACGTTCTCCACGGCGTCTCCAGACTGTCACATGTGCTCAGTGTGAACCTGCTTTCATCTGTGAAGAGCACAGGGCGCCAGTGGCGAATTTGCCAATCTTGTGTGGGTTGTTCACTCCGTCTCATGCTACCACTAGAGTGAAAGCACCGCCAGCATTCAAAAGTGACCAAAACATCAGCCAGGAAGCATAGGAACTGAGAAGTGGTCTGTGGTCACCACCTGCAAAACCAGTCCTTTATTGGGGGTGTCTTGCTAATTGCCTATAATTTCCACCTGTTGTCTATTCCATTTGCACAACAGCATGTGAAATGTATTGTCAATCAGTGTTGCTTCCTAAGTGGACAGTTTGATTTCACAGAAGTGTGATTGACTTGGAGTTACATTGTGTTGTTTAAGTGTTCCCTTTATTTTTTTGAGCAGTGTATAAAATGTAGGTCCTTGAAAATTACAATTAAGTGCTTGAAAAAAGTCCTTGAAAGTCCTTGCATTTGACTTACCAATGTCTGTATGAACCCAGTATAGGTTACTTGCTCAGCCCCAATGGAAGATAAAATCACCTGCTATTGAAATTGTGCTCGCATCATTCGCTTTCCTGTCAAGATCTTGACCTGGTCAGAATTTTCTTTCATTTGGACCAGTAGCTTTCATTTGGCACTGACCCTGTGTGCCACTGGCAAATTTACCTGAATGTCGAGCCCTGCTAAACCCATGATTACCTTGTGGGCCATCACTCCATCCTTGTCGTCCTCCGCCAGACGACGGATCAGCTCCAGCAGCTTCTCACGCTGCTTCTTACTGGCGTTCGTCCAACTCGCCTGCAGGCCGCAAAACACACCACCACGGGGGTTAGGAGAGCTGTGTGTGTGTGCGTGCGTGTGTGTGCGTGTTTGCGGAGAGAGGTCTCTCACCTTGAAGCAGTCAAAGAGGTGGTCGAGCTGCTCAGGAGAGAAGTCCCAGGCCAGCTTGGCCAGGAGGTCGTGGACGTTCTTCACAATGGCCTCATGTTTACCAGCCTGCGGGTGGAACAACGTGTCAAAAACATGCAAACAATCACACTGCTGGATTACCATCGGTTTCCAGTCTTGAATTTCCGATAGAGAAGATGCAGGAGCACATAAACATAATTAAAATGGACTGAGCCATGCTTAGGAAAGGGCGTTTTGAGCAGATCAAACCCAATGACCTGGAAATGCCCCAGGTACGACATCGGGATTTCCCATTCTGCTTTTAGAGCCGTTATGGGTAGGGCCATGCTTTTTGTTGCCCTTTTTGAGGCACTGTGCTTTTACCGGTATTTCCAGCATTATCCACTAGTGTTGCTGCAGGTAAAAAAATACTAGGACATCTTCTGTATCACACCACCAAACACACACGCACAACCAGACATTGATTGATTGATTGATTGATTGATTGATTGATTGGAAACGGCTTGTGTCAATTACACAATATTTCCTAGGATTTTTCACCTGCAGCAACACTAGTGGATAATGCTGGAAATACTGGCAACAAGTACACCAAAAAGCATCGCCCTAGTTATAGGTCATACCCCTTTCACCTGAACCATGCACAATCTGTTTGATAATCAATGGTTCGCTCTTCAAACACACGCACACAAACACGTACACACATACACAGTACCTGTGCAGCCCAGATGTTATCCAGGTCCTGCATGGTAAGAGATTTCTCTTTGATGACGAAGCGAAGTATCTTCTCTAGTTTTTCTACGTACTGAGGCTGGTGCAGACTGTCCCTCAGCACGATGGACAGGATGTGGTTCTGCTGGATCCACTCCTGAGAGACAGAGACATCTTTCAATCTCCACTCAAACACCAACAGTTCTGCCGACTATGCCACCAGAAACCACACTAAGGTATACTCTCTATATTACGCACTTTGTGACAAAAGCGCTTGTGATAGCGTTATACAAATACATTTGATTGATTGGTGGTTAACTCACCGCCATGCGTTCTGCGGTAAGCCACTCCTCCTCCTCAGGGTTGCCATGTCGATGTGTGTAATAGGACACAGTTGAGATTACCTTGTTTACTTCGTTTAGTGCATTCATTTTGCCGTTAAAAGAGGAAATTTGCAATAACCTGCGGATGAAAACAACCACCACAGATTACTATCAACAAATACTTCACATATGGGCAATTCCTAAAAGTCTACAAAACCCTTATTGACATTAATACATGATTTGTGCACATCTCAGATTAGCATTCAGCCAACAGTTACAAAGACAGGTGTTTTAAAACAAAACCTTTAAGATTTGAAGCAAACTCACCTAAGAATCATTTTTAACCTAAAAATCTCTAAGCTCTTCACAGTTTCCTCCTGCCCAGGCACCCTGGAGGCCAGGTTCTTCAGGGACTTGATGATCATGGAGAGGGCGTCATTTTTGGCTTCATTCTTGGCCTCCTTCTTCAGCTCCTCATCGGTCAGGTTCTCCAGAAACTGAGGTACCATCTCGATGATGGGCAGGAAGTACTTCTTCACCGTGTGCAACGTGAGGAACTCGTAACACTGCCCAAAAGGCCTAGAGGACAACACAAAACAGTCGCAACACATTTACATTTTAATCATTTAGCAGACTCTCTTATCCAGAGCGACTTACAGTTAGTGAGTGCATACATTTTCATACTCCAGTAGACCACGTCTTTCCCATAGCTCTATATAGGGTTCATACACATTTTGACAGATGGAATTTCATGAATTTTCCATTACTCTCCATGACATTTACCCACATGTCCATGACCTACAATTGGCGGCATCTCCATGCATGTATAAAAAAGTATGCGTAATGTGATACTGGGAGGCTGCTCTCTGATCCCATGTACCATCTTCTGTCGTTGTGCAAGGAACTAAACCCCCCACAAAGTAGAATACCTGTTAGGCAACTGTATAAAACACATGGTCAACCCTAAGTCTGGAGAGCTACTGGGTGTGCAGGCTTTTGATCAAGCCCTGCTCAAACACAGAGCCAGTTCATCAGGTTCCAGTTGAGATGCTAATTTCTAAAATGTGGTTTGTTAGAGGGGGACTAGAATAAAAAAGTCTGCACACTCATTAGCTCTCCTGGAGGATGGTTGACCACCCTTGATGTATAACATTGCAACATTACAACCAAATACGTTTTTTGCCTTTTGAAATAATTCGCTCATTCAATATATCAAAGATTAATTGGCTATGGTAGGCTACAAATATTGTTATTCAGCTGAAGCAAGCCCACATACCTTCTTTAGGAAATGTTGTGAGTTTAGTCATATTTAGCTGACTAGCATCTATTGAGTTGCAATGTCCCATACATTGGATGCCCAAATCAACTGTACAAAACAAGTTTTGAAGCCACATAAACAAAGACTACAAATATTTTCTTAAAAGTACAGTTTGTGATTCTAAAATTATTTTAATTCACATGACTAAATTCACTGCGATTGAACCGAATCCCAACTAATAATGGCAGAGTGAATTGTTAGTTTTGTCAAAAAGAATCATATGAATCGTTCAAAAAAGTTAATCAACTTTGAATGGCCTTATTCGCAAATGTCGTGGAAAGTGTTTTGGGACATGAACACATGCTAATAATAGCTAAACAGTAAACTAGAGGGTACTAGTTTGGCTACCTAGTTATTAGTCTGTTCACTATCATATTTTACTGGCCTACCTGCTGCTGCAATGTCCTACTGTGTGTCTCCCCTTTAGTTACGGCCCAATCACATGCAGGTGATGCGAGCAAACAAAACGCCCTAAAGTGTCATTCCGATCCTGATTGATATGTTGATTTTTTTTTATTTTATAAAATATTTAAAAACATTTTAGTCATTTAGCAGAGGCGCTTATCCAGAGCGACTTACAGTTAGTGAGTGCATACATTATTTATTTTTTCATACTGGGCCCCCCGTGGGAATCGAACCCACAACCCTGGCGTTGCAAGCGCCATGCTCTACCAACTGAGCTACACGGGGCCACAAACCATGCCTAAATAACTTACATTAATAGAAATTATTAAAAACATTACCATGAATATTCCAAACCTTTTTGGATTTGATAATTTTCCAAATATTTTAAAGGCCTGGAAAACACTATTTTAAAATTCCATTAGTTTTACAGGATTTTCATGACCGTACGAACCCAGTCTATCGTTTGAAGCATGTTTCTTAAAAAACAGAATTGTTGGTTTGATTGTTGTATGGCCACATTAAAGCATCTGCTAAATGACAACATCAATCTAGTCATGAAGACAGCCATTACAGCAAGAACCTGAGGCCTTCTTTACTGATGACACGGTGGGATGATACACACTGGTGGGGCATGGGGTGAGTTAGCCCTACAGTGGCTTAAGAAAGTATTCACCCCCCTTGGCATTTTTCCTTCAAATTCTGACCAGTTTCCCAGTCCCTGCCGATGAAAAAGATCCCCACAGCATAATGCTGCCACCACCATGCTTCACTGTGGGGATGGTATTCTCGGGGTGATGAGCGGTTTGCGCCAGACATAGCGTTTTCCTTGATGGCCAAAAAGCTCAATTTTAGTCTCATCTGACCAGAGTACCTTCTTCCATATGTTTGGGGAGTCTCCCACATGCCTTTTGGCTAACACCAAACATGTTTACTTATTTTTTTCTTTAAGCAATGGCTTTTTTCTGGCCACTCTTCCGTAAAGCACAGCTCTGTGGAGTGTACGGTTTAAAGTGGTCCTATGGACAGACTCCAATATCCGCTGTTGAGCTTTGCAGCTCCTTCAGGGTTATCTTTGGTCTCTTGTTGCCTCTCTCTTTGGTGGGCAGCCCTCTCTTGGCAGGTTCGTTGTGGTGCCATATTCTTTCCATTTTTAATAATGGAGCTAATGGTGCTCCGTGTGATGTTCAAAGTTTGATATTTTTTTATAACCCAACCCTGATCTGTACTTCTCCACAACTTTGTCCCTGACCTGTTTGGAGAGCTCCTTGGTCTTCATGGTGCCGCTTGCTTGGTGGTGCCCCTTGCTTAATGGTGTTGCAGACTCTGGGGCCTTTCAGAACAGGTGTATATATACTGAGATCATGTGACAGATCATGTGACACAGAGGTGGACTTTAACTAATTATGTGACTTCTGAAGGAAATTGGTTGCACCAGATCTTATTTAGGGGCTTCATAGCAAAGGGGCTGAATACATATGCACGCACCACTTTTCCGTTATTTATTATTTCTAATTTTTTGAAAATGTTTTATTTTTTTTCATTTCACCAATTTGGACTATTTTGTCCATTACATGAAATCCAAATAAAAATCAATTTAAATTACAGGTTGTAATGCAACAAAATAAGAAAAAAACGCCAAGGGGGATGAATACTTTTGCAAGGCACTGTATATAGACTAAATTTGGCTTCATGTTTCATATGAAGTGAATATGTGGGGGGACTAGATACATAAAGTGCTTTGATTTCTAAACTGTAAAACATATGTATGGAAATATCCTCGAATAAAAGGTGATATTCTGTACTGTCGCCTCATATATAAAATGTTCTCAAATCCAAAATACTGCGTATAAAGCCAAATTTAACAAATTTTACTTCACTGTCCAAATAAATACAGAGGAGTGTAATGGAGAAAGCACTTGGAAATGTAGTGAAATGTGCTATTTAAATGTAATCCATTAAAGCAGGGGTTTTCAAACTTGTCTTGCACAGGGACTCCCCACCCAGGCAAACTGGCAACCCCGGGACACCCATTATATGTCAGCAAAAAAAAAAAAAAAAAAACATTTATCATCAGGTGAATGATGATGTCAAGCAATAAACATTTTAACTTGAATAGATTTGGTAGACACATTTTTTTGACCTCCCCACAGTTCATTGGAAGAGGAACTAACAGCTAGAAATGTACAGTGCTTTCGGAAAGTATTCAGACCCCTTGACCTTTTCCACATTTTGTTAGTCTTATTCTGAAATTGATTAAATTGATTTTTTTTCGCATTAATCTACAAACAATACCCCATAATGACAAAGCAAAAACAGGTTTAAGGATTTTTTTTGCAATTGTATTTAATGTAAAAAACTGAAATATAACATTTACATAAGTATTCAGACCCTTTAATCAGTACTTTGTTGAAGCACCTTTGGCAGCGATTACTACCTCGAGTCTTCTTGGGTGTGACACTACAAGCTTGGCACACCTGTATTTGGAGAGTTTCTCCCATTCTTCTCTGCAGATCCTCTCAAGCTCAGTCAGGTTGGATGGGGAGCGTCGCTGCACAGCTATTCTCAGGTCTCTCCAGAGATTTTTTTTTTTTTTTTTTTTTTTTTTAAATCGGGTTCAAGTCTGGGCTCTGGATGGGCCACTCAAGGACATTCAGAGACTCAAGTACATAAAGATCCTTGGTGACAACCTGCTCCAGAGCGCTCAGGAGCTCAGACTGGGATGAAGCCTCTCCTGTGTAGTCTTGGCTTGGTGCTTAGGGTCGTTGTCCCGTTGGAAGGTGAACCTTCGCCCCAGTCTGAGGTCCTGAGCGCTCTGGAGCAGGTTGTCACCAAGGATCTTTATGTACTTTGCTCCGTTTATCTTTCCCTCGATCCTGACTAGTCTCCCTGTCCCTGCCGCTGAAAAACATCACCACAGCATAATGCTGCCACCACCATGCTTCACCGTAGGGATGGTGCAAGGTTTCTTCCAGATGTGACGCTTGGCATTCAGGCCAAAGAGTTCAATCTTGGTTTCATCAGACCAGATAATCTTGTCTCTCATGGTCTGAGAGTCCTTTAGGTGCCTTTTGGCAAACTCCAAGCGGGCTCTCATGTGTCTTTCACTGAGGAGTAGCTTCCGTCTGGCCACTCTACCATAAAAGGCCTGATTGATGGAGTGCTGCAGAGATGGTTGTCCTTCTGGAAGGTTCTCCCATCTCCACAGAGAAACTCCGGAGCTCTGTCAGAGTGACCATCGGGTTCTTGGTCACCTTCCTGACCAAGGCCCTTCTCCCCCAATTGCTCAGTTTTACCCAGGGGGCCAGCTCTAGGAATAGTCTTGGTGGTTCCAAACTTCTTCCATTTAAGAATGATGAGGCCATTGTGTTCTTGAGGACCTTCAATATTGCAGAAATCTTTTGGTACCCTTCCACAGATCTGTGCCTTGACACAATCCTGTCTCGGAGCTCTACGGACAATTCCTTCAACCTCATGGCTTGGTTTTTGCTCTCACATGCACTGTCAACTGTGGGACCTTATATAGACAGGTGTGTGCCTTTCCAAATCAAGTCCAATCAATTGAATTTACCACAGGTGGAGTACAATCAACTTGTAGAAACATCAAGGATGATCAATGGAAACAGGATGCACCTGAGCTCAATTTCGAGCCTCATAGCAAAGGGTCTGAATACTTATGTAAATAAGGTATTTTTGTTTTTAATTTTTTATACATTTGCAAAAATTTCTAAAAACCTGTTTGCACTTTGTCATTATGGGGTATGTGCGTAGACTGATGAGGGAAAAAATTATTTTATCAATTTCAGAATAAGGCTGTAACGTAGCAAAATGTGGAAAAGGGGAGGGGTCTGAATACTTTCCGAATACACTGTATATAAGAAAATTGTGTAGTTTTGAAGCCAATTTCCCTAGGTGGCCAGTGACCCCAGTTTGAGAACCCCTGCATTAAAGTGTGCGTGTGTGTTCACAGGCCAACTCACTTGATAAGTGCGGCGATGATCTGGACGTTCAGTGCTTGGCCACCTATGAAGCGATCGTGCAGTGTTTGAAACCCATTTAACGAGCCAAATTTGTTTATTAAATCCACCAACCAGCCCTGTGAACGAAGAGCAAAAAAGAACAACACACATGGTAAAGACCCTCACCCTCTGACCATTATTCACTCAAGCTGTTCAGCTATACAAATACATCCCTCAATCAAATCAAATGTTATGTCACGTGCCGAATACAACAGTGAAATGCTTATTTACAAGCCCTTAACCAACACAGTTTTAAGAAAGAATAACAACAAAAATCACAAAAAAATACAATATAAAATACGAAATATCAGTTACAAATAATTAAAGAGCAGCAGTAAAAATAACAATAGCGAGGCTATATACAGGGGGTACCAGTACCGAGTCAATGTGCGGGGGCACCGGTTAGTCGAGGTAATATGTACATGTAGGTACAGTGGGGGAAAAAGTATTTAGTTAGCCACCAATTGTGCAAGTTCTCCCACTTAAAAAGATGAGAGAGGCCTGTAATTTTCATCATAGGTACACGTCAACTATGACAGACAAAATGAGGAAAAAAATCCCAGAAAATCACATTGTAGGATTTTTTAAGAATTTATTTGCAAATTATGGTGGAAAATAAGTATTTGGTCACCTACAAACAAGCAAGATTTCTGGCTCTCACAGACCTGTAACTTCTTCTTTAAGAGGCTCCTCTGTCCTCCACTCGTCACCTGTATTAATGGCACCTGTTTGAACTTGTTATCAGTATAAAAGACACCTGTCCACAACCTCAAACAGTCACACTCCAAACTCCACTATGGCCAAGACCAAAGAGCTGTCAAAGGACACCAGAAACAAAATTGTAGACCTGCACCAGGCTGGGAAGACTGAATCTGCAATAGGTAAGCAGCTTGGTTTGAAGAAATCAACTGTGGGAGCAATTATTAGGAAATGGAAGACATACAAGACCACTGATAATCTCATTTTGTCTGTCATAGTTGATGTGTACCTATGATGAAAATTACAGGCCTCTCATCTTTTTAAGTGGGAGAACTTGCACAATTGGTGGCTGACTAAATACTTTTTTCCCCCACTGTAGAGTTAGTGACTATGCATAGATAATAAACAGAGAGTAGCAGCAGCGTAAAATAGTTTGGTTAGCCATGTGATTAGATGTTCAGGAGTCTTATGGCTTGGGGGTAGAAGCTGTTTAGCCCTCTTCACGACTGTCTTGGTGTGCTTGGACCATGTTAGTTTGTTTGTGATGTGGACACCAAGGAACTTGAAGCTCTCAACCTGCTCCACTACAGCCCTGTCGATGAGAATTTCCTGTAGTCCACAATCATCTCCTTTGTCTTGTGTGTAATCCCTCTCATCTCGCAGCTATTACACAGAAAGGGTTGATTGAAGAGAAAATCATAGGAGAACTGCTTGGCTTCTGATTCAACCCACAGGCCCATATCAGAGGCTGCAGCAGTGTTCGTATTGGGCTGACTGCAATCTACGGCAGAGAGGCAGCTGCCGCCTTGGCTTCCCTCCGCAACAATGTTCACATTGATCCCCCCCCCGGCCCACGCTCCAGTCATTGCGCTTTTCATAGAAGAACTCACTCTCCCTGGCATCATCTCATTTAAACTCCACAACACTTGAGTGCATCCTTTTATTGTATTTTCATCCCTATTCCATTTTCTACGCAGTACACGGAGGGATCCTCCTTTGTTTCTGTGCGCTGGCCCTAAGGCGGCAAGCCCGGAGCAAATAACACTGCTCTGTAGATTTGTTCCAAGAAAATAAATTGCAGGCCAACTGCCTATTTGGAGGGAGGGGACGGACAAAAAAACCTGTTCTCTGTTCCTATGGCAATCGCAGATATCCAGAGGATATTTTATTTAGTCTTGATTCAAAAAAATTCAGACATTTCTCATTGTGCAGATATGAAAAGATTTAGATGGGAGAGAAAGATACATTTACACAGTATAGCCTAAATCAGTCCCAGCACAGTTTATAAAAAAATCCTCAGTAATTTATTTTAGTTGATCCACCTGGCTACAAGTAAAGTGATGTTTATTGGTGATTTTGTAAACAGATCTTGGCAAACAGGAGTGGGTTACGTTTTGGGCCTATGTGCAGTGGTAACACTCCCTGGCACTCGGGATGGGCATTTGAAATGTTTTGACTGTTCCAATACCCTCATGATATTTATTTGGACTAATTGAATGGAGAAAAATATATATATTTTTAGAACAAGGCCCGCACTGGATTTTTATTTATCTACATGCCAAAAGATGGCAAAAATCATTAATTTATCATAACCATTACAGATAACAAATCCTAATAGATGAATTTCCCCACATATAAATTCAGTCAATAAAAAAAAAGTGCCATTTAAGATTAATTTATTGAAACCGTAATATCAACTGGTTATATTATATTGTGGAACGCAAGCTTTAAAAAAGGCAGTAACCTCAGCAGTGGCACTTGCTTGTAGAAGCCTATGGCTCTGTAATGGCATTGCTCTGTTAAATTTCGCAGACAAGATGCTCTTAACACTAGAACCGCCTGGCCTTTCAGTACCCGCCAGAGAACGTTGCCGGGCGTCCCCTTTAGCAACCTTACAGAAGGACAACTATCTCTGTAGCACTCCACCAAATCAGGCCTTTATGGTAGAGTGGCCAGTCGGAAGCCACTCCTCAGTAAAAGGCACATGACAGCACGCTTGGAGTTTTCCAAAAGGCACCTAAAGGACTCTCAGACCATGAGAAACAAGATTCTCTGGTCTGATGAAACCAAGATTGAACTCCTTGGTCTGAATGCCAAGCGTCACGTCTGGAGGAAACCTTGCACCATCCCTACAGTGAAGCATGGTGGTGGCAGCATCATGCTGTGGGGATGTTTTTCAGCAGCAGGGACTGGGAGACTAGTCAGGATCGAGGGAAAGATGAGTGGCGCAAAGTACAGAGAGATCCTTGATGAAAACCTGCTCCAGAGCGCTCAGGATCACAGACTGGGGCGAAGGTTCACCTTCCAACAGGACAACGACCCTAAGCACACAGCCAAGACAACGCAGGAGTGGCTTCGGGACAAGTCTCTGAATGTGCTTGAGTGGCCCAACCAGAGCCCGGACTTGAACCTGATTGAACATCTCTGGAGAGACCTGAAATTAGCTGTGCAGCGATGCTCCCTATCCAACCTGACAGAACTTGAGAGGATCTGCAGAGAAGAATGGGAGAAACTCCCAAAATACAGGTGCCAAGCTTATAGCATCATACCCAAGAAGACTCAAGGCTGTAATCGCTGCCAAAGGTGCTTCAACAAAGTACAGAGTAAAGGGTCTGAATACTTATGTAAATGTGATAATTCAGTTTTTTATTTTTAATACATCTGTAACAATTTCTAAAATTCTGTTTTTGCTTCGTCATTAGGGAGTATTGTGTGTAGATTGATGAGGGGGGAAAAAACAAGTTAATCAACTTTAGCATAAGGCTGTAAGGTTACAAAATGTGGAAAACGTCAAGGGGTCTGAATACTTTCCAAATGCACTGTAGTTTCGATGGGTCGGCTATGTAGGCTAAGTGGCATCGTTTGTTTCACGCTCATCAAGTTAGACAGAGTCAAGTATATGTTTTGCACTATTCTAAAGGCCTACTGCAACACATACTATGATTGTTTCCTTTACAATAAATGTGATTAGCAATAGAGTTACAGTACATAAGTCCTGTAACAGCTTCTTTTTACAAAGTAAAACATAAGAGAATGGTGTCAACCTGCAAGGTCAAAATATTAACATGAGCGCCAATGCTGATAAATAGGCATAAGACAAACTCATTACACAGTTCTGTTCTAAATTAAATGAACCTCTTCACTCATTATTCAGTTAGGCCTCATTTTTAATTCAATTGTGAAGTAAGGTGCACAATTATCGCCCATTCAATCCATTTGTCATTTATTCAGTGGGCTGGCATCGTTTGCGTCGCTGGATTGAGTCATGGATGTTTTGCATTATTCTAAAAGGCCTACTGCAACATGTAGCATGTTTTTGTTTCCCTTACAATAAATGTGATTAGTAATAGAGTTCATAAATAAAACAGTATTTTTACAAAGTAAAATGTTAGAGAAAATTGTATCAACCCCCAAGGCGCGTGGTCACATTTTTTGCTGCTGATAAATAGGCATAACAAACTCATCATTAAACTAAAGTAATTCTAAATTACAGTGCATTAAGAAAGTATTCAGACCCCTTGACATTTTCCACATTTTGTTACCTTACAGCTTTATTCTAAAATGGATTAAATTGTTTTTTTTCCCCTCATTAACCTACACACAATACCATATAATGACAAAGCGAAAACAGGTTTTTATACATTTTTGTACATTTATAAAAAATAAGAAACTGAAATATCACATTTACAAAAATATGGAAAAAGTCAAGGGGTCAGAAAAATTTCCGAATGCACTGTAAATCAACCTCCTTATTCTGTTAGGCCTCATTTAAATTCAATTGTGAAGTAAGGTGCACAATTATCACCCATTCATCCATTTGTCATTCATTCAGTGAGGAGAGAGAGACACATTAGCACTTGGCTGGATACCAACATCCTACAGCATGTTATCTTCACAGGTTAAATTAGAAATAGGTGTGAAAAAAACGGGTAAAAGGGCTCTAAATACTTTACTGTTTGTGATTTAAAAATTCTGACCAATGAGCAGTGTACAATACAAACATTTAGGAAAAGTCAGGGAAAGAGGATGACATAGCTTTTTTGGGGGGCAGATTTTTTAAATGTACAAAATCAAACTACAGTGGCCGTTGGCCTATGGCGGTTCCAGTGTTAATCCATTGGCACTTTGAATTCAACCCGGTTTGGGCTGGCCTTGGTGGGCTAGCTGGAGTTGCGTTTCAACTACCTCCAGAAATGAGAAATGTAATGTTGCTGTGTAGCCAATGTGACTGTCCAACTGGCTTCGCTAATGTTGCTAGCTAGCTAGCAAGATGAAGAATTGTATTCACCCTCACCATGCTGTAACTAACATTACCCCACACTCGTCCCAGAGCCAGCCAGACTAAGAGCCTTGTATTTAGCTCGCTAACGCTAGTT